CTGGAGTTGAGATTGGAGTTGCAGAGATACTTTTTGGAAAGTTATGGCCGAAACATGGAAGTGGTGAAAGTGGAAATTTTGGATAGTTTTGTTGATATTTTTGGGAGCAATAAAGATTTTGAGGAGATTTGAAGAGATTTAGGGAGCTAAGCACATGGATTTTCCATATCCAATTCAATTTCCTTAATACAAGACACCTTGCTAACAAGTTTTCGGGCAAGAAGGGGGTCAAGTGGTGAAAAGGGGGTTTTCAAACCCGATAAAATGGGACTTAGAGCCATAACTAGCCAACCAAATGAGAAACTAAGAGTTTTATTGGAATCTACAGGTCGGAATACAACATCTGAACATGTTTTTAGAGTACCGCTGAGGTGTTGGAGGTCCAATTTCAGCTGGTATGTACCTCATTTTCTCTTGATTTATTTCCCTGATCCTCAAAACCCATCCAAAACCGCCCAAAATTCGCGGAAATCAGGCAAAATTCGCGGAAAACCAGGGAAAATCCGATCAATGGCCTTGAAAAATCCATCCAAGGGTCCATGAAAACCCCTGTTTTTGAAAATTCCGGGTCGGTTTTGGTGGTGAATGGCTATTTTGAAAGTGGTTTATATATCAAAATTTCGAGAATTTTACAGTTTAGGTGTCAGATTTGGCAAAAGTGAAGTTGTTGAGATTGGAATATGCAAAAGATGGTGGTGTGGTGATACATGGGTCGGTTGTGAATCCGATAAAATGAACACTATGGCTTCTTAAAGAAGTTCCCGCGCGCAAAGAGGTACTGTTTTGGAAAGTAGAGGTGGAAATACAAACTTTGGTGTTAAGATTGGTGTTCTAGAGTTACTTTTTGGAAAGTTGTGATGTAAAGTTTGAAACCCGTGAAACAGCATTTCAAGTGTTTTTTGGAAAATATTGTTAAGCAGATGGTGCAATTCAATGGAGTCTTCAACTTCTCAAGGTAGCTAAATGGCTAGAGTTTCATGTGGTTGTGTTGTTTTGCTGGTATTTTGTGTTTTGAAGAAATGTGATACCAAAGAAATGATGAAAACAGTGTTTTCGGCGTGTTTGGGCACCATGAAAGGTGAAATGTTTTGTTAACCAGAACACTTGAGAGGAAGCAATGAAGCTCGGGTGGTACTCCTCGCTGAGCTACACATTTGATACATACAACTTTCTTGCTTTAAAGGCGTTGCTGCAAGGTTATAGTCAAAACAAGATTTCGCAAAAATTGAAAATGCGATTTTTGGACCCTCTATTTTGGAAGATATTTCAGCCCACAGAAGTGGTATTGAGAAACGGGAAAAAGATTTGAGATGCTGCAGTTACCGCGCACCTGTGAAGACCTATTTGGTGAAGTGTAAGGGGTGAATTCCGAAAGTTGATGGGAAAACATGGTTTTTTGGTACCTCTAAAAAAGGTGTTTTTTGACAATATCTTTTTCACCAGTGAGTGAAATTGAAAATGGTGTCCACCATATGAAAATTCAGCGTCTGATTGACCCTTAGGACTTTTTACTTTGGACGCGCTGGGCTGTTAATGGTGTTAAAATTGGGTTTAAAGTCAAAAATTGGACTTTCAGAAATACCCTTAATTCAGACTTTTCGAAAACTTTTTTTTTTGAAAAAAAGTGATTTCTTAACTATGGGAGAAAAAAAATGAAACCCGTGTTTTGGGATTATTATCTGAACTAAGAAGCTTTTCGAGGTATAGAAAAGGGTTTCTATATCTAATTTTGGTCTATTTTTTACTACGCTGGTTATAGTTTCAAAATTCGTTTTGGTTGTATTTTTATCGGTTAAGTTGTGTTGAAAATTTGCAAAATGATGATTTCCAAACCGGACAAAATGAATACTACAGGATGACAGAGGGAGACCCATGAGCAAAGTGGTATGATTATGGAAGATAGAGGTGGAAATACAACTTCTGGAGTTGAGATTGGAGTTGCAGAGATACTTTTTGGAAAGTTATGGCCGAAACATGGAAGTGGTGAAAGTGGAAATTTTGGATAGTTTTGTTGATATTTTTGGGAGCAATA